AAATATTTTGACTCTTAAAATCTCTTAAACCCTCAAAACTAAACTCTAAATACAACATAGTTAACCTAAACATAAATGATACTCATTCCGTTTCAAAATATAAGTTGTTTTGGATATAATTTTTTGTTTCAAAATGTAAGTTATTTTGACAATTGTAGGTACTTTTTAATTTTATTGAATATTGTGTGATCACTAGTATTTTGCAGTCATTTGTATGATTGGTCAAATTATTTTTAATACATATATTAATTGATACTGTTTAGTAGAAAAATATTTTCTAAATATCCGCGTTTTTAGCTAAAATAACTTACATTTTGAAACAGAGGGAATATAATGAATTGTTTTTTGAAAAAGTGGTATTTTTGCAAAGATTTTGAAAATGTATAATTTTTAAAAAGTGGTATTTGAAAAATAATATTTTTAAAAATTTTCTGATAAAAAATTTTCTCATAAATTTAAGACACATCAATCTATTTTGCATCTTATATGTTTTTTTCCATACGTCTTCAGTTTTTTTATTTCTTTGGTCTTTCGACGGAAAAAACCAAAAAAAGCCTGCTTATACCGAACAAGCAGCCAAACTTAATTAATTTGAAAAGGAACATTTATCACGTCATTAATCAAAGGGAAATTGTAAAAATACCCTTTTGTATGTCTAGATTTGCAAAAATGCTATTTAGGGATGTTCATTTGTAAAAATGCCACTAATTATAGATTTTTAAACCCTATATCTTAAAATTCTAAACACTAAAAAATGTTTTGATTCCTAAACCCCTATAAATCTTCATAACTAAACTCTAATAAAACATAATTAACCCAAACATAAATAATATAAAAAAAATAATTTTGAAAAAGTGGCATTTTTGTAAAATTTCAAAAGTGTGGTATTTTTGTAAAGTGGCACTTGAAAAGTGACATTTTTTTAAAATTTCTTTTAATCAAAATAGGCTAAATAGAATTTATATATATACTGAGCAGGTGGTTTATATATTATTTATTTGTATTTAGAAAAGATCTATTCATTTTACAGAACTTTCTTCATTCTAAAAATAAGGCAGTAAGTGAAAAACAACTTTTTGTTGTAAAACCCAAACAGGTATTGTATCTGATTCATTCGTGTAAATATATATAAAAAAAAACGAGTAAAATTAAAATTAATAGACGTTAAAAAAAATGTAAATTTTGGTTAGATTTTATATTAATTTTTTTTTATGGTTATTTATACCAATTTTCCAATAATTATTATTTTCTAACTTAAAGAAAAAAAAAAGGTACTAGTTCCCAATTTATTTTGAGAAATTTCAAAAAATGTCATTTTTCAAGTGCCACTTTACAAAAATACCACATTTTTGAAATTTTTACAAAAATACCACTTTTTCAAAATTATTTTTTTATATTATTTATGTTTGGGTTAATTATGTTCTATTAGGGTTTAGTTTTGAGTGTTTAGGGTGTTTTATGTGTCAAAACATTTTTTAAGGTTTAGAATTTTAAGATATAGACTTTATAAATCTATAATTAGTGGCATTTTTGTAAATAAACATCCCTAAATGATATTTTTGCAAATATGAAAAAAAAATGGCATTTTTTTAATTACACCATTTGTTTTTGTTATAAAAAATGTAAGAACAAAATGAGAAACCTAAAATCGGAAAAAGAGGAATCGAAAGAAGGAAAGATAAGCAGAGAAGGTTTCCATCATTGTTGACTCCCTCTTTACAAGAAGAACATACAACAACAACTAAGCTTTCTTCAAATTCCAGATTGTGTTCTTCGCAGGAGGATTGCTAAAATCCTCTATTCATTCACCATTTCGCCGTGATTCGCCTTCTTCCTCTGACTCGTAGGGTCCCCGATTCAACTCACTTAGCTATTCAGATTTGATCTCAGTATTGTTTTTTTTCTTTCCGTGGACTGGTTTGACCAATGGAGACTCCACCGGCGGAGGAGCTGCTGAAGAAGATACGAGAGCTAGAAGAAAGCCAGGAGCATCTAAAGCGTGAGATGTCAAGGCTCAAGGTATCGGCGGAGATTAAGCAGCGTTCGCATTCGGTGTCGCCTGTGAGGAGAAACAGTGGAGACGGGAATCCGTTGTGGAGAAAGAGCGGCGCGGCGTCGTTCCGTCACGCTTCCCCGTTGCGGAAAGAGAGCCATGGCCATTCGAAAGCCGGAGCTGGTTGCGAGGGACAGTCGGCAGGCAAGTTCACCGATAAACAGTATTTGAATATTTTGCAGTCTATGGCACAAGCTGTTCATGTCTTCGATCTAAATGGCCAAATAATCTTTTGGTGAGTAGTTGTTAGATCTTTGTCATTTTTTTTCCATTTCCTATTTTCGCCACGACATTTCTGGGATCAGACGAGGCTGGCATTGTGGATTTGATTCCTATAATTTAGGAACCCTATTTCGTTGATTAAAAGAATAGTATGTGATTTCGTGGGTTGGTATGATATGTGTCAACTGATTTTGATGGGATGGTTGTTCCAGGAACTCAATGGCGGAGAAGCTTTATGGCTTCTCAGCTGCAGAAGCACTTGGGAAGGACCCGGTTAATATACTTGTAGATGGTCAGGACGCTGCCGTTGCACAAAATATAACTCGGCGTTGCAGCAGCGGAGAGAGTTGGACTGGTGAGTTTCCTGTCAAGAACAAAGCAGGAGAGAGGTTTTCAGTCGTTACTACGATTTCTCCCTTCTATGATGATGATGGTTCTCTTATTGGGATCATATGCATCACAAATGATTCGGCACTCTTTCAAGACCCGAGAGTCTCTCCAGCTAAGACAAGGGGGCAAGAAGGAGAAACAAGCTTTAGCCGGGCGACTAATAGTGTTGCATCTAAGCTTGGTCTTGACTCGAAAGAGGCTGTTGTATCGAAACTTGGCCTTGATCCTCAGCAGCCTATACAAGTTGCCATAGCCTCCAAGATATCAGATTTGGTTAGTTTAATTGTATGTTGCAAATCCTCATTTTCCATTATACTGTTGCATCGTTTTTAGTGCAATTGAAATTACAGGCATCCAAGGTGGGCAACAAGGTCAGGTCAAAAATGCAAGCAGGTGATAATAATGCTGCACACCTTGAGGGTGGAAGTGGGGACAGCCATCAGTCCGATCAGGGTTTCTTCGATGCTGCTTTCTCTGACCGGAGGGAGGATGCATCAACAAGTAGTGCTAGCACGCTTAGGGGGGATTTTATCCAATCACCTTTTGGTATATTCTTACGTAGCGATGATAAGTCTTCTTCAAAGCCATCCAGAGATTCCAGTGATGAAAATGATGGAAACTCTGTTGTTCCTAAGACACTTACCTCAAAAGCTGAAGAGTGGATGTCAAAGAAAGGATTGTCATGGCCATGGAAAGGGAATGAAAGGGAAGGTTTGGAAGGAAGGCGTGGTCATTCTGTGTGGCCTTGGGTGCATTCTGAACAACATAAAGAACAGGCTCAGCAAAGTAATTCTGTTAATAGTATTAAATCTGAAAGACAGGCATATGAAGGTAATAGGGCTGCCAATAACGAGGCTATGGGGTCTTGGTCTTCCTCTGTTAATGTGAACAGCACAAGCAGTGCCAGCAGCTGTGGAAGTACCAGCAGCAGTGTAATGAACAGAGTCGATATGGATAGTGACTGCTTGGACTATGAAATCTTATGGGAGGATTTGACAATTGGAGAGCAAATTGGGCAAGGTGATTCACTTCTTTTGCAAAACACATATCCATCCTTCAAGATCATACACTTTATGTGATTTTCTGGTTTCTGCAAACATGCTCTGATAATTTCCCTCTTTATACATACAGGTTCATGTGGAACTGTATATCATGGTTTATGGTTTGGATCTGTACGTTCTTGCCTTTTGTTGATGTTGTAGAATAGGCGTCATTGTTGTTTTACAAGACTCCATGAGAAAATCATGAACTTTTTTTTTTTGTTCAAGAAAAATTCATGAACTTAGAGTCTCTTACTGAGAATTGCTAATGTCACTACAGGATGTGGCTGTGAAGGTGTTCTCCAAACAAGAATATTCGGAAGAGATCATAACATCTTTTAGACAAGAGGTATTATTGTTTTGTATCACTTATCTAAAGCATGTTCAGTAAAAGACAATTGATATATTAATTGGTTTACAGTGACACGTACTTTCTGTCTTTGGTATTTCCGTTAAAAGATTATTCCCTAACTTACCACAATGTTCCCATCAGAAATCTTCTCCTGAACTCCATCTAGCTGGAAAATTAATAATTTCAGAGACCAGCCTAGCTACTCGTTCTAATTTTGAAGCACATATGCTGTACTTTGTTCTCTTTCAAAGGTATCATTGATGAAAAGACTTAGACATCCGAATGTTTTGCTATTTATGGGAGCCGTGACATCACCTCAGCGTCTCTGTATAGTGACAGAGTTCCTTCCACGGTTCGGTCTCATCTCTTTGGCTAATATTACACTTCCTTTTGCGCTTTTTGAACTCTGAGGCAAAAACTATGACTCACACCCTAAATCTATCAAATAACATATGCAGTGGAAGTCTCTTTCGTTTGCTGCAGAGGAACACGTCAAAATTGGATTGGAGGCGACGTATCCATATGGCCTCGGACATTGTGAGTATACATGTGATTTTCCAGTTGTGTAATCGTTGATAATTGCATGCCCATCGTTTTTGAAGTAAAAGCTGCTCTAATTTGGTTCTTATTTGCATCCGTCTTGCATTTCGTTCTTTTCCTTTCTTTGATTCAGTCACCATAACTCTTTACTGACATGTTACATTTTCCTTGCATACTTTTTCCCACAGGCTCGTGGCATGAATTATCTTCATCACTGTAGTCCACCCATCATTCACCGCGATCTGAAGTCGTCAAATCTACTGGTCGATCGAAACTGGACCGTGAAGGTATTGTTTTCATTGTTGGAGTCTTATAATTTCACATTATCCGAATAAATACTAACTTTACACCATGCCTTTTGTAATCTCAATGGAGCAAAAAAAAAAGGATAATTATACTCCCTACAAAATACCGTCTACCATCAGAATTCGAGGGTGACATAATTACAGTGGATGAACTGGATATGGTTGTTTCAATGAATTTTGATTAATTTCTTGTTCGTGACATGGGTTGAATATATTAGTCTAGGTACAACAAAGTAAGGTTATTAGATCTAGTAATTCTGCTGTGTCGGAACTGAGAAGTTGTATGCGAAAACAGTCATTTGATAGATAGACATTGATATCCTATTTGTTAGATTTAAAACAAAATGGAAAATCAGATAAAGATATTCTAAACAATAAATGAAGTTTTAGATAATGATTTGTCTTTTGTGAATGTACCAGAAAAGAGAGGGTTGGATCTTAATTGAAGAGTTAGAAACTAATATAGATCTGGAAAAAGGATCTGGTTGTCATAGTTAACTTATCGTGTCATCTCTAACAGGTTGCTGACTTTGGTCTTTCTCGTATCAAGCATGAGACGTACCTCACTACGAAGACGGGAAGGGGAACGGTACTTAGCATTGACTCTTACTGAACTGATTCCTCATTTGTTATGAACTCAATTCTCTCATGATGAATTCCATTGCTTTCACCTGTTTTGCAGCCTCAATGGATGGCACCGGAAGTTCTTCGAAATGAGGCTGCTGATGAAAAGTGAATTCTCATTTTCTGCTTGGTCAAGTCCCTTTTCTCATTGGTGTTCTAGCATTTACCTTTAATGACGCTCCTACTCTATAAATTGTAGGTCTGATGTTTACAGCTTTGGAGTAATATTATGGGAGCTTGTGACTGAGAAGATCCCTTGGGAAAATCTGAATGCTATGCAGGTATAGTTTCTGCATTTAGATTTCTTTTTTTGCAGCGAGTTGATGATTTTTTTGGTCAAATCAAAAGGGTCGTTTTACAATTTTATGAATTAGAGGTCTTGCGTCTTTTGAAAAATATCTGTTTTGATTAAGAAAGATTGCATTTCCTGTCTCCTCTTAGATCTTATATGTATTATAATCCGCACACACAGAGTGGGCCAAATATGAAGAGAAGTCTATTTAGGATACTTGCAGGTGATTGGAGCTGTGGGGTTCATGAACCAGAGGCTGGAAGTCCCGAAGGATGTTGATCCTCAATGGATTTCTTTAATGGAAAGCTGCTGGTATAGGTACGTATAACATATACCTTTGCTAGAAGAAGTCGCCTCGGTCTTTGATAGTTATTGCATATAGGAGGGACCAAAACCCGCTTTTCATAAACAACCACTACATGCCACATTCTGATTTGTGCAGTAGAACTAAACCTGGAAGTTTGTGTCATTTTACTGAAGAATGAAAACTAGAAGTGTAGAAATGGAAAAGTAAAATTTTGTTTATATTTTATGCTTAAGCAGAGAAAGAAATTAAATGAGTTTGAAACTTTTACAAGGGAAAGAAAACTTTGGAATAGTTGAGGAGGGTAGGTACTTGAAGATTTATTCTATTGAAAGCATTCAGCAAATACAGCCTTTTAGTTATCCCATAAAAGGGATATAAAATTTGTTACCATGAATAGTGTAAGTTTGGTGTCATTTTAGTTCCGTTATAGTTTTCTTTTAGCTAAACAGATAGGTGATAAATGGTGTTTGAGAGTTGTGTTTGATTAATATGTTGTGGAAGTAGAAGAAGCAGTTGGTAATGGGAGTAAAATGTTTGTGTAGTGAGCCACAGGACAGACCGTCGTTCCAAGAAGTAATGGAGAAACTAAGAGAGCTTCAAAGAAAATACACAATACAGTTCCAGGCAGCTCGTGCTGCATCGATAGACAACTCTTCCCTCAAGGAAAAATAAAACAGAGAGAAGCGAATCTGATTCACCTTGAAGAAGACAAGAAGAAAAAGCTTTAGCTAGCTAC